TCTCCACCACTACACTCCCCCTCGGTCACTCGGGTCCTCTGACCAGCTGCTTCTGGTCATTCCCAAGAGTAAGAGGAAGCATTGAGGAGACAGGGCCTTCTCTGTTTGTGCCCCGAAGTTATGGAACGCTCTGTCTTTGCACATTGGACAGGCCCCATCACTGTCCATTTTTAAAACCCGTCTGAAAACTCATTTCAACCCAACTGAGACTTGATTTTACTTCATTTTTACTGGTATTGATTTGATCTGTTTAACTCATCATTTAATTGTGTTTTAAACTGAGTTCACTGTGTGCTTGGCTTTGTAACTTGTTTTATGCTTTCTTTTATCTTGTTTTTAACTGTTCAGCACTTTGTTTCAGCTGTGGCTGCTGTTCAAGCACTTTATAAATAAAGTTGATGATGATCAAAACATTTAACTAAATTATCTAGATATGTTTAAGTTAAAACCTTTTTTAGCAGAGCGGGGCTCATAATGAAGTTAAATACAGCATAAATAAGTTTTTGTTGTATTTCTTTAAACCTTCCTCACTTTAGGATTCAGAGTTTGCTGCATGTGAACAAAGTTTTATTTCTTTACTCACAGGTTACATGAAATGGCAGATGGAGAGCTGAAGGACATGGAGTATTTTTTCTCCAATCTGCCCACCCCCTTCACAGCGTTTGACTCTGAGGCTTATAAAACCAGCGTTGTGGGTGAGCTGACACAGCTGATGTCTGATCGGAAGCTTTGGTTGTCATTTTCCTCAGGAACGTTGGTATTTCTCTGCTCTGCCTGCTGTCTAGGTCTTTTTATGAGACACATGCTGCTGGCGTACAACAAGCTGTCGTTCAGTCAGGTTTACAAGCTCTACAAGTCCCTGCAGCTCTACTACCACAGCCACTACGCCAAGCCCACCGATGGGCAGGCGGGGCTCTCAGCGCTGCTTGCCGACGACTCAGATATGGATCTCACCAGCGCCGAGGACACTGTAGGAGACAGGACGGACAAAGAAGAGCTGGACGTCCCGTTGCACGAGTCAGAACTTCGGTTAGTGCTGCAGTTCTTTGAAAATGAACGCGTTTGAATGGAGAGATGCTCCTTTTATTTTCAAGAGACACAATGTAGCAAACTGTACATTTATTTCTGTCTTTCAAACCTAAAATCTAAACAGTAGTTTCTCGTTTATCACGGGGGATCCGTACCCTGAAGTCCCACGATAAGTGAAAAACCGTCAAGTAGGAATAGTAGTACAAGTAGTAAGTAGTAGTTTATTTTATTG